TCAGGAACTGTCCCTGGGCAGGAGCCATTCAGCAGTGGGGTGGCCTCCTCTGCAGCAGGAAACTCGTCCCCTTGCGGTCCCGGCTGGGATTACTGCTCTGCCCTACCAGGATCACAGCTTTCCCTTCACTTTGTGCCTGCTGGGATCTAGACTCCTGAGGGTGCTGGGTGCAGGGGAGTCCGCGCTTGCTGACAGCCATCAGTGGTGTCTATTTCTATGCACCGATGAAATCAACATTTCCCAATGACTCATGATTTAAGTCAAATCCTGCCAAGCCTAGTAAGAGCGCAAGAGGTTGGTTACAAGCCGCAGTGGGGCATGCACAGCGAAAAGGAGAGTTGATAAGTATTCACAACCAGTGAATTTGAAAACACACTCTGGTGGTAGTGGTCCCATGTCTAGAACCCATTGCCCCATGGCTAGAGGGGAAAAGCAAGACGCCCATTGCTGACCTGCCACATGCTTCGTTTTGCAAATCCACTTTTGGCCATGTCACCTACTGTAATTCTACAGAAGTCAACCGGCACACACTTCCTTTCCACAGGGAGAACACAGAGCAGGATTTGACCCTCTGCTCTTTTGGGGTGTAGTTGGATTGATTCTGACCAGTTTTATTATTAGTGTATAAAGATCTTCATATCAGACTGTCTCATCTAGATTTTTCCCCTTCGCTTCATTCTCTCAGTACCTTCCGCAGCTTTGCTCCTTATTTTTTTCTGTATATTTGCACTGTACTCTTCTCCTTCAATAACGTTATGAATGTTACTGAATCTCTGAACAGTTTGTCCAAGCGCAATTGGCTTATGCAGCAACAATCCTTATGGCCAGATTCTCATCTGGTAGCAATCAGGATACCTCCTCAGACCCAACAGGGCTAGGCCAATTTACAGCAGCTAAGGAACTGACTGCTGGTCTCTGTGCCTGTAATACACTCACGCTCCTTTACAACACCTTGTGAAACAAGGCAGTTTGTGAGTTAGAACACAGATTTCATGCAGCTACATTAGTAACAGTGAGTCTGACACCTTGTTCTAACACAAGGTTGCAGACTAAACCGGGGCCCAACTTCAGCTCTCAGTTGCACCATTGTCACTTTTATGAAGTGAATCACAGGGCTACTCTGGATTTAAAAAGCTGAGAGAGAGAAAAACTGCCCCCACATTCACTTGCTCTTTCTTTTCCTGCTCTAGTTGATTGTGGTCTCTTTTTAATACCTGAAGGTTAGCTTTTGCGTCAGCGTATCACAGCGCTGGCTTACTGGTGCAGGGATTATTCTGTTCTGATGAGCTGAATGAGCGATGCTGTCGTCACCTTGCATTCACGCCTTTTTACTTGGATGTACTGAGCTAACACTAAATTAAGGTGATGAGGACAGTAACTGCTGCCAACCAGGAGGTAAAGCTCGACCACACAGCTAATTTAAGTTATAAACTGAGCTGCTTTAATCTGAGCTTTAATCTGAGCTGGTAGCCTGTCAGTGTATCCATTACTTAGTACATGGCCAAATCCTTCAATGGGGTTGATGCCTGAAGAGG